TATAATATTTTTTTTTTTTTTCATTTGAATAATTTTAATACTTTAACTTAAGCAAAATAAGTGTACAAGTTTTTTATTTTTTTTTTATTTTAAAAAGTTTTCATCTAATATTTATATTTAGTTATATTTCATATTTATTTCATTTAATAAAAACATTTTTAATATATTTAATTAACAATAACAACACTGGTCACCCTTATTTACAGTCTGTAATTTGGTCTGTTTCAAGTAAAATGTGGTAAACCTTTGAATTGCGACATTCTTCCTGTCTTTTCAGGTTTAAGGGTCTTATGAATCAGTGAGACTCATTCAGTTGTGTAGGTCTGTGCGATATGGGAGGAAGGAAGCCATTACAGCGCTCTGTTCTGGACAGATTGTCATTGTTCTCAGCATGTTTAAAAGTGCTGGGTGGGAAAAAAGGGCACTTGTTCATGGGTCATATAAAAATGCATATAAAAGATGATGCCACATAAGAATTCTGTCAGAGCCTTCTCATGGATTCCAGAGAAATGTTCTGAGCTCAGATTCACAGCTGCAAATTATTCTCCTTTTAGTTTTCCCACCAGCTTTAATGCAGACACACAGGTTATTTTTAAATGTGTGGCTTTCTTGGTAGCACAACCAGGGGCCTGTACCATGAAGCCGGTTTAGCTGGCTAGCCCGGTAAGTTTAAGTTTAGTTTGCACCAATCCTGGGTTTTAGGTACCATGAAAGTGGCTTGGCTTTTAGCGGCATTCATTGCCTTAGTAACTTACACTCCACACAGCTAACCTGCTCTGGGGCAGGTTATGTTCTGGTTTAGAGATCTCAAACCGAAATTTGACCAATCAGCTTCAAGCAAAGTGACGCATCTCTGACGCAATAAAGCCACTCCCCCAGTTTCTCTTACTCCAAATTAAAGGACGAGGCATGTGATTGGCTGTTCATTACTGATGTCACTCTTTCATGTGCACGTGCTCACGTCTCTTACTCCAAATTAAAGGACGCTACATTGTGAAACATTTTTAAAGATAAAATTGTCTGATTTTTAGAGAGGATTATTTTTTATAATAATTTTATATGATTTAATTATTATACCCTTAATCCATTACACAAGCTAGCTTAGTTTAATAGTAATTATTAAGCTTTTATTTTAAATGAATATAAACATATAGATAATATGCAATATAAGTTTGAATCAATAGCTTTAAACATGACATTCAAACAAGTGTTTTTATACCTATAAATATTATCTACTCTATAAACTAACTGTACAACTTTTACTTGCACTTACATGGCAAGATGTTTTCTTTAAGTTTTCCTCTTTCATGGATAGATCGTTTCATCTTGTAAATGTGTTTAAATTCTTCATATTGTTCAATCTTTTAATCTTTGGTAGTGAATCGCACTGACTCTCTCATGAGAAGTGAATCACAGTTTCAAGGCATGTGATTGGTTGTTCATTACTGATGTCACACTTTCATGTGCACGTGCTCCATTAACTCAGGATCAAGCCTGACTTGACCGAGAAAGTTGATGATCAGCTTCATGGTACCAACAAAGCCGGATTGGACTGGTTTGGTTTTGTCATCTCAAGTCAAAACTAATCCTGTAACCCCGAGTTTGTTCAGCCACCATCATGGTACAGGCCCCAGTATTTATAGTTAAATACTGATTTAGTGTTTCTAGTTTTATTTGTTGAAGGCTGTTTAGTGCCGGTGTTTAGTATTAGTTAGGCCTATATACTGTTATAACTTGAATAAGCTTTTATTTTTGTCATTTCAGTTTTTATTTTAATTTTAGTTTGATTTTTAGTATTAGTTTTGTGCTTTAGTTATTTTTAGTAGTTTTTTAAATATTTAAGTTTAATTTATTTTTATTGTATTTTTATTTTTATTTCCTGTTTATTTTAGTTCTTTGTCTTAAGCTCATTTCTGTTAGTTGCCGAGGCAACATTTCAAATTTTCATTTAGTTCAATTTTTGATATTATATTTGTTTTATTTTATTTCAGCTTTATTTGTGTTGAAATGCAATCAGCGTTGAACTAAAAAAATTAAAATTTTAGGAATTTACAGAATTGTCAGATGTAGTAAGTTGAAGAATATATTTATTGTGACCATTTAATTTGCTGGTTTGAATCAACTTGAGCTCTACACTGTTTTTGCTTTTTTTTTGTATAGTTATTGTCTCCATAAATATCATCAACGTACTAATAACTTTTTTTGCATTATTACTAACTACTTTTTGTAATGGTAGCTTGAATGTAGTTAAACTAAAACTTGTGAGTAACATATAGCTTGCATGTTTCACCGTATTGTAACTGTCCAAACATTTGATACAACATTCTCATTGTACACTAAAGTTTCACACTTCACGGAAGACCCACCATTTCTGCCAATGCAAACACTGAATTCCAACGCTCTGCCGAGGTTTGGGCATGCGTGGGCTGTTATATTTGGATGATTAGAGCGATATGATGAATCTATGAGAAATGCGGTAACCTTTCAGACTGTAAACATGTGTTATATCTCAGATTCCTTCCAATCATGACTTTATGTTGGTGATGCAAGGAAATGAGCTGGCAGTGAGCCTGGGTTTTCTAGGTGAAGCGGTATTGTTTTCCAGTCCTTGTTTCGGTAATAAAAAAAAAAAAATCATATCTGTTTTCCTGTTCATTGCCCCCTGGCAGTTCCAGCCGGTGGAGTATTAAAGAGATCTGTCAGCAAGACCATTGTGAGCTCTCTAACAAAACCGCAAACAAGGTCTGCAAACACACACGTGATGGTCTGTTTTACCGTTACAGGCGCATGGTTCCCTGACCTGATCTAAAGTTAATATTGAGAATCCTGTTCTTAAAGGATAGGCCTATGTGTTACTTGAAAACATGCTTTTTATATGGAAAACTAGTTGATGAGTTGTCTTAAAGGGGTCATA